TTATTATTATTATTATTATTATTATTATTATCATTATTATTATTATCATTATTATTATTATGCTTTCAAATCATAAATAGGCTGTTGAACCGGTAACAATCCTTACTCTTACACGAATAATTCCAAAGGTTCCAACAAACCATCCCCCATTTATGTAGAAAAGGAAGGGTTGGGAGACCGGAGCCTATGGTTTCAAGTCCTTATCCAAGAAGTATTGAGGGTCTAAACATTTGCAGACGTAATTACGAAGGCAGCACCTTAAATTCAATTATTTTAAGGTCCTGAATGTTGGCCCGGCTGAGCCGCTTGAATCACTTCCTGTCACACAACAGACAAGCCGTCGCTCCGGGGCCAGTTGGGCTAGCCGAGTAGCCTGCGGTTTGTGGGGAGGATTTGGGGAGAAAATCGGTTGCAACTGCAGCTCTCGGTTAACTGGTTTCAGTTTCAATTTAACAAAAATAAAGGTAGTTCGCTAGTAGTCAAAATATTGTCAAAATTAGACATGCGTACTTATATACATACATACATTTACATATATACTCACATGCAATCTGGCAGAACGCTCCACGGAACCCCTGAGGGCAATGGCAAAGGCAGTGGTTGTCTGGTGTGGTTTCACACGTGCCACCGTTGAAACATCTAGAAGACGCGTCCTGAAATTACGAGAAAAGGAGCCTACGGTTGGATGATCCCTTTGTATAGAGGTACTGTAGTCTTAAACGTCAAAATCTAAAACTATGAATGTTTTCTATTCCTTTAATCTCTTTCTATTATTTTGTTGTTCTTTCCTTCTCTCTTTACTTCCTTCCTTCTTTCTCTTTTAGTTCTCTCGTTGGCTTTCGCCGTTCATGTTCGTATCTTCCTCCCTTTCTTTTTTCTCTCACAAGTCGATTTTTCCCAATGGTGAAAGAACGGTGAAAAACGTCACAATGATGGCGGATTTGTAGTAATTTAGCTCTGCTAGTAAATCGATAGCTCTGATCAATATACCTAATTTTTAACATTTTATAAACAGCTATTTATCCTAAGATATATACGTTATTTTGTGGCTATTATTGCTTTTTTAGTTCTGAAAACTACTATTTTTGTAGTTTATTGTGTGATTTTCTCAGTGATTTTATTAGCGTTAAAATCATAAGAATGTTTTCAAATGACGTCATAATAAAACAGAGCATTTTATCAAAATTCTGATGCGATGTTCAGAATGTAACATTGACATCATTCCCCCCCTCCCCCTCCCTAGAATTTGATCCAGGGCTCATCTAGTTAAGCGCAGCCATTTCGCTGTAACAAGTTCACGGTTTCCGACGCCATATTGCTTGGGGGCAAATTTACAAAGAAGCGTAGGGGAAAGAGATACGTTTTTCGTTACATTTCCATTCTGAGGTAAATTTTCGAGACCAACCTTTGTCTGTCGAAGGAGAATCCTCTGTCAATGTTCAAAGCAATATGGCGTCGGAAACTGTGAACTTGTCTATTATAAACAGAGTAACTTTTTTTGCACGAATAAAAATTCATCATTATCATGATTTTCCGTGAAAAAATAAAGGTTTCAGATTTTCCAAGGGAGAAAGTTATTATTGTTTCGCAACCGGAACATGGCTGCATGAAAACGAAAATGACTATTTCCGACTGATTTTACGTAAAAGTTTCTAAAACTTGTTTTAGGCTGATAAGAAGATATAACTATAACTAAAAACTAGTGTGAGCTGCGTCGGTGTTTCTAATGAAACAGTAATGATAAAAGGGTAAATTATACACCGTGAAAAGATGAAAAAACTTACTGACGTTTCGGACGCTAGTCCTTCGTCGGAGTAAAAGGCTGATATGAAAATTCTCATCTCAAAATTCCTCTTTGACATGTCGACTTTGCGGCTCGATTCGAGAAGTGAGTAATATTGATATGATGAAGAATTGGCTACTAAGCTATACGTAGTCATTTTCTTACCACGGAGCGAGTATAGTGATGATATGTTGTTGAAGACTCTAATGAAACTCCAGAGGGATCGTCTTGGTGATTGGCCATCAACACGCACTCATACAACCCATCAGTGTCCGGTCGAGTCGCAAGGTTTAGGGACAAGCAATCCGAACGACGCTCGCATTTCCAGACACAATCAAACTTATCTTCAGCTTTGCTGAGCTCTATAACCGTTCCTTTTAGCGCTTTGAAGGCAAGTTTCGTTAGATATGTTCCTTCGGAAGGAACACAGGTTACCGATTGAAAATCTAGTACTGATATAATGGCGAATAAGAAGCTTAAACAGATTGACATTTCGGATGATACCAAAAACGAATTTTGAAACTGAGAGACTGCTTTCTGAGTCAAGATTCGAACAGCTTCAGCAGTGCCAAGAAATAAGCGCTATCGGAAAAGATAGATGTTTATTTAAAGTTTCCTTTAATGTTTGATGGCTAAGAACTAATTAATATCACACAGGGAGTAGTGATCAAATCACGACATGTATAATTTCAATTACATCCTCAGCTGCGCTTGCCCACCTTTTTTCCTGATATTTTAATTTTAACTTCTACAATCTACCACTCTATGTGTGCAGGATACAAGGCTCAAAAAAGAGGGAAGCTAGTGAATGTTGATTTTCTGGTTAGGGAGAGAAAAACCAAAGCCATAAGAAAAACCCTCTTCTGAACTACAAACACTGCCGCCCACAGGAAACCCGTGTCAGAAAAGGAAATGTTACTTGATACTACATTTGAATTGAAGTATAGATCGTTTTCACGTGTCGTCATCAATTTCCGGTCGCCATATTGGTGTACCTCGATAGCGTGACTATGCAAAAACATGTGTGTAACAATCATGCCATGACTAGCGAAGTGCTCTGAATAATATGGAATATGTTGCCGGCGAAAAGGAAAAAAAAGAGTTTAGCGAAAATTT